GTGTAGAATCTTTTATCTATGAATAGAAGCATCAAAGTCTCAGATTTGGAATGTAAGAGGCCTGAATGATCCCGTTAAATGTGGCAATGTGTTATCGAACTCCTATCCGCTAATCCTCGACATTGTCTTGCTCCAAGAGACTAAACTGCACTCCATCCCTCCCTAAAATCTGCGGTCGTTCCTCCCTCGTCGCCTTGATGACTTCCTCTACAATCTGCTTTGTTGGCACTTGGCCGGCAGCATCCTCATCACTGGTGTAGTTCGCTGTGCTTTCCAACAACGCGTCATCCTCTACTCACACTCCCTCACTTCCCACCTCGTCTCCACCGCTTCCAACACCCCTATGGGCTGTAACAAATGTCTACGCTCCTTCCACTCTGAGCTAAGGCCATCATTCCTTGATGAACTACGATCTCTCACACCTCACCCCGATTCCCCCGGATGCTTTTTGGCGATTTCAATATGATTCGCTACCCCATGAAAAAGAACAACCAAAATTTTCATCACTCCAAGCTGAAGCCTTCAATGATTGCCTCAACGCCATGTGTCCGATCGAATTGCCACTCCGGACAAAGGCGATACACTTGGACAAACAACCGTGACTCCCCACCCTTGAACGACTTGACCGTGCCTTCATCAATCTTGCACGGACGCTGTCCTTCCTAACACTACCCTTTCTTCGCTCACTCGGCATACGCCCGATCACGTTCCTCTGTTGGTCAACGTGTCTACTCACATCCCCAATCCAAAATCTTCCGTTCGAGAACCATCTGGATCCACCGCCAGTTTTGTTTGGAGTCGTCGAGGCTGCTTGGCGTTGTCGGACGCCCAATGGTGACCCCCTTTGCTTCTTGGCCAAGTGAAGGAAACCGGCGGGACCTCAAACTTTGGAGAAAGCAAGATCTAACCTTAATCAGCAAGAGCATGATTGTAAGATTGTCATCAACCTCATCGACCGAAAGTAGAAGAGCGCAGACTTACGCCGCCGCATGAGGCTAGTCTACGCATCGTCGTCAGCATCGTTCTTGCTTGGCCGCACGCACCAACAAAGCTACCGCTCCTGGAAGCAGAGAGCCAAAATCGAGCTCTGCCAGAGAGGGCGATGAAAATACACGCTTCTTTCACGCTGTGCGAATGCGAATCGCCGGAGAAGAAACAACATACAAGTTTTGGAACACAATGGATGCGAGGTCCACGGGCATGAACAGTAAAGCCTGCTGTCCTTCATTCGTTTTACACGAACCTCCACAGGAACGCCGATTGAAACCACTTGGGATTTTGATCCGAATGGCTTGTACCGGATGATGCCCAAAACTTGCTTGGTTTGGATGGCGAAGTTCGAACTGAAGAAATCCGATGCGCTTTCGAAATATGCACTCCACCGCAAGTCCAGTCCCGACGGCTTTGGATCTCTCTTCTTCAAACATTCTGGACGAGTTATCTCTGCAGACATCACCGCCCTCTTCTCTCGCCTTCCATATGCACTCGGTGGATCCGGAAAGGATCAACAGATCCTACCTCGTGGTCGCTACCTAAGAAGGAGGGAGCCCGGCGCCCACATGATTTCAGACCAATGCGTTGCAAAACTCTACGGTTAAGAGCATCTCCGAGTTCTCATGAACCGCCTGCAGCCCTTTATCCCTCTCTCATCGGGCTGATCGATCAATCCGCGTCTGCTGGAAGGTGCATCGCGGACAGCTTCGTCTATGCAGCAGATCTACTGAATTGCTGCTACCGGAGAGGGTGCCCTACCGTTCTCATGAAGCTAGATTTCCACAAAGCCTTCGATTGTGTCGCCTGGGACAGCTTGACCAAAAGATCATGAAATGCCGTGGCTTCTCGATAGATGGTGTGCCCGGATCAACGTCCCGCCAACCTTGGGAAAACTCATCCTCCTTAACGGTGTTTCCCAGCAATCGGATTAATCGCCGCCGTGGACTCCGGCAGGGGGAACCCCTATCACCGTATCTTTTCATCATTGTTGCCGATGTTCTTCGCCGTCTGCTCCAAAACCATCACCTTGCCGCGGATATTCGACATCCCATCCTCCCCGATGAGCCGTGCCCCGTCCTCCGAAGACATGATGACACCCCTTGTTTTCATCTTTGCACCCTAACGCCATCTCTCTGCGACCAAACGCATCCCCGCAATTTGTTCGAGAAAGCTACTGGCTTGGCCATCAACTACCACAAAACTACCTTCTTACCAATTGCCGTCCCTGACGACGAAGCCGCCGCCCTTGCCACCTCTTTTGGCACCACCACCTCCACCTTCCCTCAGACCTACCTTGGACTACCTCTTACCCCTCACAAAGTCTCTGTTTCTGACTGCCTGCCCCTTATCACCTCTTGCGACAAATACTTATCAGGTTGGCGAGCCTCTCTTCTTAACCGCGAGGGGCGCCTCACCCTCTGCACTTCTGTTCTCAGCGCACTCCCGCTTCACTACATGTCTGCAATCAGCGTGCCTAAGACAGTCCTCAAGGCCATCGACAAGAGACGTCGTGCCTTCTTCTGGACTGGAGAAGATAGCTGCCACGGTTCCAAATGCCTTGTCGCTTGGGACACGGTCCAAGCTCCCAAAAACGCCGGCGGGCTGGGAATAAAAGACCTGGAGCTTCAGAACCGGTGCTTGCTGATGAAATTCGTCAACAAATTATTCGGTGGAGAACAAACCAGCTGGAAAGATTGGCTTCTACGCAGTGCCTCCTCCTTCGATACCCCGATCAGTGGCGCGTCTAGCTTCCTCTCGCGCATTGTCAATGACGAGCTTACCACCTTTCGCTCCATCACCATCGTCAAAGTCAACAATGGCGCCGCAACCTCCTTTTGGTTCGACCATTGGCTTCCTGCCGGCCCCCTCTTCTCCACCCATCATGCTTTGTTCACACACACCACTATGCCTAACATCTCGGCAAGTACGTCTTCCGAGTGGTTTTGATTTGCGTCTGCGTCCTCGACTCACTAATGTTGCTAGCCATCAGCTAGGCAGCCTGCTCTCTTTGTTGCAGGAGATGAACATCGGCGACGGCCTACGACTTACGGCTGCTCAAGGCGATGTGGGGCACACCTACTCCGCTAGGGATGCCTACGCAGCCCTCGACTCTTCAGTGACCACACCGACATCGACGGTGGGCGTGTTTGGCGGACAAGGCTACCAAACAAGGTCAAGGTGTTCGCTTATTGTACTTCAAAGACCGGCTCAGCACAAGGGTGAACCTCCATAAAAAACACATCGTCGACGGCGAACAATGCGCATGCGCTAGGCACCCGGAGAACAGCGACACATTTTCTTCTTACTGCGAACAAAGTGATGCATGCTGTGTGGATCGCAATAGGCATGGGCGATGGGGATGAGATGACGGATGATGAAGCATGGGAAGCGGACACTCAAGCAAATCTAGAAGCGACTCTCGGCCTTTCATCTTTCGACTATCTTATGGCGTATCTGGGGACGGTCGGAATGGGTATGTATTCCGTAATGAAAATTTCTGTGAATCGCGTGGTTCTTTCGAGGGTCTGTGATGACCTTGTAACTTGGCGCAAGCGCCTTCCCTCTGAGCTAGGAACGGCTCATTGGCCGGTACGCCACCTCCGCGATTGTACCTCAAACTCTTTTCCACGTCCTACTTAACTTGGGCGTGTGCTTTTGAATGGAAAGGTGGGGAAACTCTCCCCTCCGTTTAGTTCAAAAAAAAAATTCTAGATAAAACACTTGTAACATGCATCTGAAACAGAAGAAATATTTTGAACAAACTCTTGCATCATATGTACATAACTATTGCAACATGTGTAACATCTGAATCTACCTTTGCAACATCCATATAAAACACTTGCAACATGCCTCTAAAACTATCTAGAACATACGTTTGCAACACGTGTTTTTAGTGCAACATGGCGCGTGTGGCGTGGCGAATTGACGCGGTGAAGGCGCTTGACACGGTCAAGGTAGCCATGATAGGCGGATGGAGGTGCCCTAGCGCGGTGAAGTTGGCTGCGGCAGCCAGATGGAGTGGTCCGGTGGGCGGAACGAATCCTCCTAGCACGGTGGAGCCGGCGAATCCGAGCAGGCGGTGTGGGCAGATGGACGGCGCGGCGAATCCAAATTTTTTAGTAGCTTATAGGTAACGATCATCTAACGGTACACAGATAAAACTCTAAAAAAAAATTCCGATCCCATGTACTTCACGGTTGACGGTCACCGTCAAGATCGCATCTGATGCTAGACCCGACGCCTCTTGAGAGGCTGCGTGGTTCGTCCGCTGCGCCGCTGCGGGGAGGTGGTGGGAGGTCAAAGTAGCGTTCTGGGTGTCTGACATCAACCATGAGTGGATGCTCGGGAGCTGTTCGATAGAATGCCTGAATGGATAGGCGACCGGCCACTTCCGGATGCTGACGGAGAAGGCGGCTATAGCGCACGCCAAGAGCCAAGGATAAGATGCGGCTGTTCCGGACTCCACCAAGGTATTTGTCCATTCCACGCCTCCTTCGTTTCTTTCTTGCTTGGCGGGCATGACTGTGCCTTGTTGTTATACTACTAGCAACTACCAACTGTGATCTTATCTAGTTATGAGGATCCAAGTCTTTCCTTTTTCCCTCTACTCACATGATAATTGAGCATGCTTGGATGTAAAGATGCTCTAGTATTGCCCATGTATGAACAAGGGTTAAAGAAGTAAACTTATGCAGAATTCGTCCCACCAGCACTCCAGCAGGCAACATTTTGAGGTGTAATGCAAACACCATAGATTATATGACAGAAAGGAAATCGAACAAAGTAGCTCTGTAGGTAAGAAAGGATATATTGGCAACACAAATTCAAATGTTTAAAAGCAGCACTGCCACTATGCAATGTGTTGCACTTTGGAACCCCATTTCTGTCGAACTAGTTAGCTAATTGCAATGCATTACCAGCACATAGTAAAAAGCATAAAAATACATCATAAGTTCAGAGCATTGATACATAGGATTGTCAAACCTCTGCTAGTACAAGAAAGATTCTTAAGTCTTGTCGCCATCATATGACTCACTAGGTTTCCATGTGGATATTGCATTCAGTATCCTTCCCTTCCATCCCAGTAGTAGCCATTGATCATCTTCGTTGATAACATAATCTTTGTGATATTTTCCCACCATTTCTCTTATTACTTTCACAATGTCTGGATTCAGTGGGAGCTGCTCAAGGCCAGCATTCAGGATTCTTGACTTCCATTTCTTATAATTCTCTGGCCTCTCAATCCTTTCGAATCCTTCACATGCGATGACATTGAGAAGTTGGCACTGAAAGATGCCCCTCTCTATGAACATTCTTGTCTCATTATCTCGTGGAACAGTTTTATCACAGATATCAAATAATGCAGAGTAGTGGTACATGACTTCTTTAAAACGTGTTAAAAAGAAGGGGGTACCGTATGATCCATTCTCTATTCCATGCACAAAAACTTTTGGCTTCATCATTCTAATTGTATTGAGAACCCTATTCCTTGCACTGTTTATGGATACTGTCTCATCACCCAGATTCTTCATTCGGTGTATGCAGTTGACTATCAGCACATCATCTTCCGCAATGTTGAGATCTTCTATACATATGGTTTCCCACTTTGATGATATTGCTTGATATTCAAAAGGCACATTGAACATGCTAGCATAATCAGCTAATCGCTGTCCCGTGTTCTGCTTATTCATTTGATTTGGTCGAAATCCTTGCTTTGGTAGCTCAATACCTGTGATCCGAACCTTAGGAGGCCCATCTTCCCTCTTTGCGAGTTGCTCAAACAGTGATGGCCATTGATAACCAAAGCAAATGCCAAAATCGATAATGTGCACCTTAGATTTTCCCTTCGAGACATCAAGGATTGTCTTATTTGAGAAATAAAATGATGCCCTCAGTAAAGGATTTACCGCTAAATACAACTGGAATACCTTTAAAATGCCCACAGGATTGATGACTTTAGTGACCAAGTTGCGATACAGATGACTCCCAGTTCCAGCTAATCGCGCCTCAAGGCAGTCCACTAGACAAAATGCTAGCCTCTGGGTATCATCCCCAGTTATTGAGGAATGTTGCCTTATTATGTTCAGCATGTCATTTGCTAAGGTATGGTTATTCACAGATACTGCTTGTGCACAATGGATAAGAATGGTTCTTAGATCCACCACCTCTTTCTTCTGTTGATTCTTTCCTCGTGTCTTCCGCCGTGCTGATGTTCTTCCTTGTTCATTCTGTGAATGTCCGGTTGATTTGTTTGTTATCATTTCTTGCAAAACAATAGCTTCATCCGTAGGTTTATGCTCAGAGAAGAGTAGAACCCTGTCAAACACCTCATCTCGGGTTGGCCCATTGAATGAAAAGGCAACCTGCTTGCTACTCCTTGCTTCTAACAAATAAGAATCTTCAGTACGCGAGTAATATCCACTGTGAACCTCAGATGATGCATGCTTGCTCGTATCTGCAGCATTTACCTGAAGTGACTGATTATCTCGCCTACGCTTTTCAGCTATTGAGAGGCCATCAATTTTCACACCAAGCTCCATGTTTCGTGTACCTTCAGTGGAACGTTTTGTCTCTTTGACTATGTCAGACAAACTCCATGGAGCTTCAAAAGCTTGCAAGTTGTGATTAGAATGATTATTACTGGAGTCAATAGCAACAGAGCAGCTACTGCATGACAACCCGGAAGACTTGTTGATGCTGTCATCGAGGTTATTCAGATGACCACAGCTACAAAGTGATGGTAACTCAGGATAAGCTGGATTGTTTTGTCCAAGAATTCTATAGAAAGGCTCTTCCATAGCTCTAAGGGCGTGCTCTCCATGATGTAATTTTACCTTGTCGTCATTGTCCTCGTCCATCAACAGCTTGTTTAAGTAGTTGATGGTTATACCTGAGTTGATCCAACTGTTATTAGAATAGTCTGCCACACTGGTGCCATACCAATCTGGTGCCGCATTGCTACTGAGGTCGCAGAACTGAGGGCCATCTGTTGCACTCGAATAGGAGGTGATCGATGTAATGTGGTCACTATCATTAAAAGTATTTGATACAGGAGGATGATGATGCATTGATCTTGGTTGGTCCAAAAATAACTCCAAATCATTTGACTCATTGGCTGGATCAACGAACGCATATAACCCAGAAGTAGCCGACATGTTGCTTTGGAAATCCTCAAAGTTAGAACTAGATTTGTTGCTGAACTCCATTGATGGGGTTCTTGATCCTTGCCAAAAGTCAGACAGTCCTTTGCAAGTCCCCTCAAGTTCCCTGTAAATAATGAACTTAATATGTCAAATGGAAACAGATAACAAACTATGTCATATATCCTTGTACTCTAGTTTTTTTTAATTATCAAATATAATTATCATTACTGACTACTATAATTCGTTAATAATCTCTAGGAAGAGAAATTCTGAAAATATGCACTGGATCACATTAGTTACATACTTATATATAGTATATATATGATGCATGTAGACTATGGAGTATCAGTCTCCTAGCTAGTCAGAGCAGTTTGATTTTCAGGATTTTTTTAGGAGTGTAAAAGGCCCAATCCAAGCACAAGAATTAGGTTGAAGAGAATGAGCTTGCTAAACCTTTTTTTCTAACCCACAAAAAAACTTTTTTTTCTCAGAAGGGTGTGTCTTCAAACTTTTGAGTTCAACGAGTAAATTAAACAAAGCTTTTTGTAAGAGTCCTCCTGGGAGGGGTGGTTAGGGGCGGCGGCTAGGGCTGAGGGGGCTGTGGGCCTCGGGTTAGGGAGGAGGGTGGCGGCAGGGAGAGGAGGAGAGGAGGCGCAGGGAGAGAAAGGAGGGATAGGGAAAGCCTGAGGCTGTTTCTTTCTTTACATGAGATGATTACAATGGTCCTATATTTATAGTTCTGGATAGACTTGCATCTTAAGTAAACTACTATGAAATCCCATCTAATCTTATTTCCTAGATTGATCCTATTTCTGTTCTTTTCTATTTCTTTCCTTTATTCTAGATTCTCCGGGATATGGGCGGCGGCGGCATGGCGAGAGGCCGCCCCATCCCTTGGCACGCCCCTCTTGTGGCACGGTTGGCCAGGGTGTGGCTGGCCTAGGCCCTTCCTGGGCCTGTGGTCCCTTGCCCTGGATCCTCCATTAGGCGTCTAACATCTCTCCCCTCTTCTCCAGACAATGCGTCCTCACGCTGGATCACCGTCTAGTCGTTGATGTCGTCAAGCTGAAGCTTGCTACCCCAAGGTATCTCCTCTATACGGATAAGGAGATGCCCAGAGTGTCGTGCATTTAATCAGCGTTGATGTCGTTGGCAGAGAACTCGAAGCAGTAATGGCAGGGGCCGATGTAGCCAAAGATGTAGTAGTTGTAGGTTCCCGATCCTATTATTGGTCCATGGGCGCGGCGTGTTGTAGTGAGTGTGGCACCGGGAAGGATTCCGTTGAAGTGTAGCACCTGCATGACCCTTGGAGGCCGTGGAAACATGTATACATGCCTTTGCATCGACTTGTCCTGTTATGCACCTACACAATGCTGAAGTGACTGCTGATGGGGTGTTGTAGTCAAGTGCTCCAGGGTGCCGAAGAGGAGGTCGCCCGTGTTGTAGTCGGCTGTAGAGATGAGTGGGTGACCACGAGCGTGCTGCCTGTTGATGTAGATGTCCTCAATAGTGAGGAATTGTTGACCGTTGTTGTCGAAGAAGATGACTATTGCTGACGATAGTATGTGGTGTGGCCAGTCTTCTATTAGAAGGATGCTCGAGGGGAATGCCTGAGTTGTTGGTGTAGATGTTGCCATGTGGAGGCCGACTGCTAGAAGATGGTGGGGTCGTCGTCCCCAGAGATTCCAGCATGTCCTGCAGCAAGGGAGAAGTCGCTGGTATGTAGTAGTGGCTGTTGTAGAGGATGATGTTGTGTTGGAGCGACCAAGCTGGTGCCGCTGCATGGACTTCAATGTTGGCGAAGATGATATGGAGTTTGTGCTCATCCGTGGTGGCCAGGCGGAGCTATGCGAGGATGGTGTGGTCGGCGGCCAACGGCGAGGCCCGTTCCCTCCTGCCTGGCGGGGCATCCCCTTCCTGCTGTGGCACATAGTCGGAGTTGGCGTCGATGTCGGGGATGGCTCGTGTGGCGTTGGTGGTGGTAGGCGCGAGATGCTCCTCTGCACGTGCCAGAGCGATGGCCATCTCCATCTCTCGTTGGTGGTGTTGGGCGACTGTCGTTCGAAGTGCATCTTGTAGGCCAAAGGTGAAGAGGTTGATCTGATGAAGCTCGCTAGCGATGCCGACATGTAGCATGTACGTGGTGATGTTGTTGATGTAGTCGTTCACTGTGCCGGTGTGCTTGGGCGGTGCGAGGTCGCTGAGCGTGTCCTGGCAAATTGGTGGGCCGAAGTCACAGAGGATGCATCATGCAAAGAGCGCCCACTCAATCATCGGTGCATCCTTTGTCGAGCGGATGAACCAGAGGTGCGCTGCGCCTGTGAAATGAAAAGCTGCATACCAAACTTGTTGATCTTCAGACATGTGGTGCAGCTTGAAGAGAAGCCGCATCCTGGAGACCCACAGTAGTGGATATGTGGAGCCATCGTAGTTGGGGTTGTTAACCGAGCCGTGACGGGTGGCTGGCGTGGAGGTTGAGCTGACGGTGCTGACGGGATAGGGGCCTGCGGTAGTGGTGGTGCGGGCGCCTGCTATGCTGGCAGCCAGATGGCCAGCTGAGGTGGTCGGAAGCCGGCCGGCCAAGCGGGCGGAGGCATGGCAACAACGGCAGTTGCAGTGCTGGTGGTGCCGCGAACAAGCTGTTCGATACCTCCATGATGACCTCTGGGGTGTTGGAGGAGTGAGGTACCTCCATCTTGTTGTTGAGGAAGGATTTGCCGGTGGTGAGCATGACTTGCTTAGTCTCCGCTTCAAGGCTGTTGATGGCATCCTTCCTATCCAATCTAGCTGAACGCTGGTAATGATGGCGTCACCATGGATGCATGCCTGCTCGATGGCGTGCAGATGTGTGTCCAGGTTGAAGAGCTGCTGATGCATCTCATAAAAATTCTTGCGGATGTCGTCGTCAAAGGTCTGGAGCAGCTGCTGCATGTTGGAGGTGGTGGAAGCCATGGATCGTCTGGTCTCCGGATACCAGGTGTAAGAGTCCTCCTGGGAGGGGTGGTTAGGGGGCGGCAGCTAGGGCTGAGGGGCTGTGGGCGTTGGGTTAGGGAGGAGGGCGGCGGCAGGGAGAGGAGAAAAGGAAGCGCAGGGAGAGAGAGGAGGGATAGGGAAAGCCTGAGGCTATTTGTTTCTTAACTTGAGATGATTACAATGCTTCTATATTTATAGTTCTAGATAGACTTGCATCTTAAGTAAACTACTATCAAATCACATCTAATCTTATTTCCTAGATTGATCCTATTTCTATTCTTTTATTCTAGATTCTCCGGGATATGGGCGCCGACGGCGTGGCGAGAGGCCGCTCCACCCCTGGGCGCGCCCCTCTTGTGGCGCGGTTGGGCAGGGTGTGGCCGGCCTGTTCCCTTCCTGGGCCTGTAGCCTCTTCCACTGGACCCTCCATTAGGCGTCTAACACTTTTTAAAAAGAATTGCGAAAGAAGGCTGTAGGAACTCTATCTTTCAATTAAGATAGAAAAGAGAGTGGGTTGAATACCAGCTCTAGCTATGACATTTTTTTTAAAACTCTCTAGGCATGGTATCAAAGACAGGAGACCTAAAGAGGCACACACATACTCCAGATCCCAAAACACTGCTGGGCAACAGCAAGAGACAAATCAACACAGGTGACCTGAACGCTCTCCTACGTTGCTCAGTGTCCTTGTAAATTGAACAAAGGTATAGACTGCAGGAACTTGGAAAACATTTCTTACAAAATTAAGAAAATCTTCATGAAAAATGCATGACAGTTTAGAACAGTAACCAACTAAGATGTCACCTTTCAACTTTGATGTTAGAGTGAGGAGGCTTGTTTCGGTGGTTGAAATGTACTGTTAGTACTTTTGTGTACTTTGTATTTTTATTTCAACAAACAATTAATTAAAAAAACAGTAAAAATAAATTAACGGAGAGAAAGGTACATTATTAATAGGACCAGCTTTAACGGAGAACATTTCCTATCGATTTTCATTTGGCGAAGAGCACGTCCATGTCCTCGAGGCTCTAGCCCTTGGTCTCCGGCATCCGCGTGTACACGAACGCGCACGCGGCCGCCCCCACGCCGCCATACAGGAAGAAGCATCCAGGCGCGGTGATCGCGTCCGCGAGCGAGATGAACGTCATGCTGACCAGCGCGCACGTCAGCCGGTTCACCGCCATACCCAGGCTGGCGCCCTGCGCGCGCAGCCGCAGCGGCATGATCTCGGCGCTTTGCATGCCCGCCAGCGGCCCGAACCCGATGGAGAACGCCGCCATGAAGGCGAGCACCGACAAGACGCTGGCCCGCCATATGCTCGCGGCCGACGCAGAGCGTCACACCCAGCGACGCCATGGACGTGGCCACGCCATCGTGCTAGCGAGGAAGAGCGGCCGCCGACCGAGGTGGTCCGAGAAGAGCGTGCCACCAGGACGAAGCACATCTCTTGACAACGCTGACGGCCACGGTGGCGCCGAGGACGGCCTTGTTGGACGACATGCCGGCCTTGCGGAACACCTGCGGGCTGTAGAGCAGGATGGCGTCGATGCCGGACGCTTGCTGGAAGAAGTGCACGCCGACAACTAACGCAGATGAGGATCCGGCGCACTCTCGCCGATGGCCAGACCGCCGCGCTCCTTGATGGCCTGCTTGATCTCCTCGAGGTTCAGGTCGGGCTCGGCCCCAGTAGGTTACGTACGGAGGAGCATGTGAAATTATTAGAGTACCCTTTATTTTTTAATAATATCTGAGAATTACCTAAAAATTTATAGGTACCGGTCCCGTATGTTTTTGTATTGATCCAGCATGTTTTGGTACTTTCCGTTTTCTAGTACTTTTTTTTTACTCAATTCATCCCAAATTGTAAGACGTTTGACTTTTTTGACATCAAGTTTGATCACTCGTCTTATTTAAAAATTTGTATAAAATATCACTTTTTTCGTCGTGGTTTGGTTTATTAATAAAAATTCTTCAAGAATGACTTAAATTTGACTATATTTGTATAAATTTTTTGAATAAGACGAGTGGTCAAACTTGGGACTAAAAAAGTCAAACGTCTTACAATTTGGGATGAAGGGAGTACTTCCTAA